CAAATTGACAATGTAGCATGGTGACACGTGTACAAATAACGCGTATATCGCGTTCGCGCGCGCACGATGCGACAGCGGTCATTCGTTATTCCAGCGAGTTAATTTCGATCAATCGCGGCCGCACAGTAGACGACCGATTCCCACTGAGGATAACAGACCTGTTAGCCCCGCGTTAAAACTACAAGAGTGATAGCAGAGGAAGGAGATGAAGCGCGCAAAGAGGAAAGAAGATGAGGCAGGCACGATCCATTAGTAGGCACGTCAATTCACCTCTTAAGAAGCGACTTAAAGCCGCTTCCACCTATCTCTCCTCTCTTCTCCATTTTTTTTCCTCTCTTTTTCTGTCTTCCTCGTGCTCGTCGTTTCCCCCGCTCTTCTCCATACTTATTAGTGGCGGCTGGTCCCCTCGCCTTTTACCTCTTCTTTCTTTCCGCGCGTACGGTATCATAATTAATGATAATTCGATTAGCGGGACAAGATTGGGTCTCGGCTAAGCAGCCCCCGTCTTTTTCTTAGCATATTTCTCTCTTGCGGTTGGTCTCCACCTGGCCTCTCCATAATTTCCATCGAAAATGATCAACGTAAATCCCCGGGAATAAACGCCGACAATTAATCCTACGTCAGACATATTAAGCTTGACAGGCTTATTCAGGCTTGTTATAGTTTGGAATCAGATAAGAATGACTTTATTTTTTATGCGTTTATTTTCCAATTCTCGACGTAATTTCTTTTATCGACGTTTCTACTTCCGATAAGATTACGAGTTATTTGATTTATAAAATGTAATGAAAATCGTTTTCTAAATAGTGTCCTGAAAAACGAAGCAATAAATTTTTTATTGATCAACGCTGCGTTACTATGTTTACCAAACTCCTCATTATACATGTTTTGTAAAATTAAAGAATTAATCTAATTTTATCGAAATACATTCTTAATACAATTATTTAAAATACATGTGTATCGCGAATAATATGAATTCTTTTACACGTAACATCTTTTTGATCGATTTTACACTGAGAGAAACAAAAGGTTACAGTTACTAATTTAATTACAATTTATAGCCATTTTCAACTATATATTTTTTGGTATAGAACTATAAATATTATTATTACTATAATAATATAACGTAATTACGGAATATAATTATATATTATCACTAATATTATAGCAGCAATAAAAACGTTATAGAAATAACATAAAAATTAAGTTTCTAATCATAAATTATTTTATCGTATCAATAGTCAGCAAACACATTTTTCTCAGTATTGATCATAAATAAACTGGACTTATGTTTAAAAAATCATGACAATCATAGCCTTGTTCATTTTAGAAGCCTGATGTAAAAGTGAACGAGTTGGTTGTGAACATCATAGCAATATGTATTCTAATCTTTAATATTCCCAAATTTTTTAAAGTAAACTTATAAACAATTGGCATGGAATAAGCGTTTCAATACTCACACTATGATATTTATGCCATTGTTAGTTAGAGCGGAAACTATTGTTATTGCGAGAAACAATATAACGCTTCGTTGAAAATTAAGCGCAACAATATCGATTCGCGTGCTTTTGGCTGCGGAAACGCGAATGTGCTCCGGCTAATTTATATCACTTACGGCGATAATATCCGATAGCTGTTTGCCCATTTTTTTCGTCCGCGTATCGTACCAATAATGGTAGCGCCGGCACAAAATTGTTTTGTCGATTCCGACCCTTCCGCCGAAAGTGTTGCGTCGATAACTCGCGCTCTCGCCCCCGTTGTGTGTGCGCGCACTTTCAGAATGACACGAATGACAGTTCGCGGGCAGCGTAGGCGAGCCGAGACGAAAGTGTCTCGAAACAGGAATTATCGGATATATGTTTCATCGAGCGAGAGCACGCTCCACCTATAACCGACCGTCCTGGTCGGTCGGTCGGTCGGTCGATCGCTCGATTCGGTTCGACGTTGAATTAGCATGTCTAGTTTGGATTTGGAGAAGTAGATCTACGTCGCGATATCAATGATTTTTCAATTATACGCTAACTCCAGATCTACAAATAGATTTTTAAGCCTTAAGTCTTAAGAAATTGACCAATTACAATCGAATTCGAGGAAAATAATCGACTATGATTCGTCCATTTCTTATGACTTAAGGCTTAAAAATCTATTGTAGATCTGGGATAATGCTACCGACGAGACTCTATGCTCCCAGTGTCCACGACAGGTGTAAGATCGGTTCCGCGCAGGAAATTGAGGTCAAGACCTGTGTACATTCTCCGAATGATTGAGGCTTTAGACAATATATTATCCGCAACCTTCTAAACTTTATACATATATTTAAATAAAAGATAATTATAGTTTATGTTCTAAATTAATTTGAGCTCTATTTATATTATGCCATTTAGAGAGACAGAAAGAGAGAGAGAGAGAGAGAGGGGGGGAAGAGGGAGGAGAGAATCTAAGCTTCTATTGAAAGATAATCATATCTAATTATAATTTAGGAGGACAAACATACTTTTAATAATTGTCTGTTTTAATAATTGTTGTATAATTTATCTTCTCATGTTAACGCTTTTTATCTTCGTGTTTAATTTTGTAATAAAAATTTTATAATTTTATAATTTAATAAAAGATACACGTCTTCCTTTTCTTCTTTTTCTCTTTCTATAAAACATGATTATTTCAGCACTAAATAGAATAATGAATAAAATACTTACATAAGATTTTTCTATAGGTACTTATGGATGAGATTCAAATTATTAATCATGTATCGCGATGATTAATATACATTGTAGCCGCTATAGTCTTCAAAAACATTAATCATCGACATATGGATCATGGTCGTACGATAAAATGGTATAGACGTTAATTATTTCGATGTGATAAAAATAAAGTTGCTGCGTTGTTAGAATAAATCTTTATCACGGTCGCGGAAAATACGGCGTAAATTAAATAATGCGACTCATAAATGTCTCGTGAGAAGGTGAAGAAGTAGTGTGCGGTAAATTGATTTTATCAATACGGTAGAAAATCACGCAAAGAGCGTAATTATTATCTAGATCTACACATACCTATCTATGCCATTACACGTTATTTCATTGAGTTACAACTTTCGTCAATCATAAAGTATACGTATGTAAGTGCAATGTTATAATCTTGCCTCGATAAAATGACGTGTAGTTATAAATATTTCTTTTTCTTGCTAGAAAGCCAGTTGATGAACACTTTAATTTCATAAAAAAAGAACTGTAAAACTTTCTAATGGAAAACTCTACTAGTTTTATACATATTGTATGAGATAAAATGTAGCACATATGCGCTTAGTTAAATAAAACAGCAATGATTTTCCAATGTTAAGATCAACTATCGTTTTGCAATAATATTCCAATAATTATATAATTTTTATTGCTTTGTAATAAATTTATAATCGCTGTTAATTTTATCATTGAATAATTATTGCATCGCGTCATATATTTGAACGTCCACATCACTGCTTTGATTCTATTCTATTATACTTTTCTCGATTATTTTCCTTAATTTTTTTCCTAGGAATGTAAAGAAATTGCTTTGTGACAAATTGATAATTGCTGTTAATTTCATTATTGAACAATTATTGCATCGCACCACGTATTTGAATGTCCAAATCACTCCTTTAATTCTATTATGCTCTTCTCAATTATTTTTCTTAAATTTTGTTCTCGGGATTCCTATAAAGGACATGTACATCGATCAAACGCGATCCCGGCGATAATTAATCGAAACTCGATCAAACCGCATTAACTGGCCGTAACGCAGTTGCCAGACAGGATAGCAAAGCGAACTCGCGGCGCTTGATCGTGTCTGTCCGGCAGGATGCAAGATTCAACAGACGGACAGTGGAATGGTTTAGTCTGCTAATCGAATTAGTCCGTAAATGCGAAAAAATAATCAGACCTCGTGGAAAACTACATGCGACCGTCGGTCGAAATTCAGTTAGGTTTTCTAGCAATTATGCTATTAACGCGCTATTGATTTTTCGTTTTGGGGCAGTGATACCACAAGTTTATATCCGAATATATTCGACCAAACATTACTTTCAAGCATTAATTCTCAAATGTGTCCAAAATTAAACAATTTCTCAGAGATCTTATAAATTTAAAAGAAATTAAAAATTGATGATTTAATTAATAATTAATAAACGGATTCCATAAACTGTATAATAAATTTTTAATTAATAGCTAGATAGGATAATGAATAGTGATAGATTAATGATGTGATGGCGACTAATAAAACCATAAACAACATCAAAATAATCGGATGAGACGAACGATTGAAGCTGCATTGTTAATGAATTTCGAAAGTATTTGTAACGGATTTCAGTAGCGTTTTGTAATTAGGTGATTTGTGTAATTAATCAGTACTTTGCATGCCTCACGAAGAGGAAAGCTCAGAAAGTTGAGGAGTAACTTCTGCGTGAATCAATCCGTCGGCTCGAGAAAGCGACAAAATCATTTGCAGATTTGCGTTGCGTTAGTACAAGAATTTTGGCAGAGAAATTGCTAAAGAAAAAGATTTTCATATTTGTATTAAATTAGCTGAGAGATCTAAGCGTATCACGGATATATATACAAAATTGTGCTAATATCATCTTGAATTTTGACAAATCAAAGACATTTCCAATATATCGATACTTTAGTTTAATCAATGTATGTCAAATTCGTCGCGAAATTGTAAAATATTAAACGTCAGAATGTTAAAAGAAAAAGCTGTTATTTTAAAAGCTATTATTTAAAATTTTTTTAATTTTAAAGGCGAAAAATAAACATTTAATCAGATCTTTAACTTCAATTCGGATATTACATATATTACTAATGTTATATAATAAGAGATCTGTTTTCTATAACTGAATCAGTATACACTTTTGAAACTTAAAGTGAAATAGGCATGGTTGATATTATATTTGGCAAAAGTGGAAAAAATTCTAGTGCGGTCTAGTGCAGAAATAAAAAGCAGACCTAAGATTATAATAAGTAAATTGGTACCGGTATTTTCCTGCGTGTCGCGACTAGTGTCCTCCATTTCCTGATGAGTTCTTTTATGGCTGGCCAATCCGAGGATCGCGTCGATGCTATGTCGCGGTGTACTGCTGGCTGGTTTTGGTAAAACGATGTCTTGACTATTCTGCGAAGCCGTGTCGACGAGTTGCTGGGAATCCATTGTTGGAAACTCGCTCAGCAGAATCTCCCCGGGGATTGCTTCGAGTCGGGATCACCACCCCCGACGGTTAAAGATTTCGTGAGTGACTCTGCGGATGCACTAAAGCTCGACGATCGCACGACAAAACTCTTTGGCACACGTGTCTCTCACCGTGAAGTGCATTTCGAACAACATCACGCACTGCTTGAGTTCGTCAGTAATGTTTATAAAACGTAGGTATCTTCAGATATCCGATTTATAAATTCTTTATAGATCTAAAAATTTTCTAGTCGTGCCAGAATGTTTGGCCTGTGTCAATCAATTAACAAGATCATGTCATTGGCTTGAACAACCGCGAAATCAAATTCGATTATAGATGTATTCACTCCAATATTTGATCTCTCTCGCAAAATTGAACGAAACCTATTCGATATACGAAGTTAAATTTCGTAATAAATCTCCGTAATCACACGTCACCTCTTCACAAGTCATGGTATAGATCATGGCACTTTTATCAACATTTTCTGTCAACATAGAACTGACCTGTCTCTTCTAATAATCATTCAGACAATCAATGAGAAACGGATGTTTCATCTAAATTTTCCCAAGTGTTTATCACCAGTATCGATCAGTTTTCAAAAGTGGAGTACTTTGCTATTGTTTACTAACACCACATTGTCGTCCAAGATCTGAGTCTTTTAACGATTTCTTGACTGCACCGCAATCGCTTACTTATTTCAGGAAAAGTAAAACCGTTTACAGGAGGAAACGTATCCCCTAATTTCTTGATAGAGCGTCCGATTTGGTCCTCGCTTATTAACTTTCGCCGGCGTCAGATGGCTAGGTAGAATCTTTCCCGTTAGGGTCGAAGCTCTTGAGCGTGCGTCGTGTCAACGAGGACTAGCCGGCCGTCGTCTACCAGGGTGGCCTTTGTTGCAGCTGTACACAACTACTCCCGAAGACTACTCGCCGGTGAAAGAGGTGGTCCAGGCATGAGCCGCGTGGAGGCGTGGTTTGGCTCGACGAATCGGGGACGCCGTTCGTCGGGTTTGCGACCAATTGCGGCAGGGATCCGGGAACATGGCGAGATCAGTGGTACTCAACCGATCGGTTTTCGAGGTAACCCTCTCTCCTGGACGGGGTAGCCGCAGGGGTTGAGGAGGGTAGACGGGCTCCCATGACGCCGTACGCCGCGTCTCGTCCCCACTAAGGGTGTACGTGTGAACGTCACGAGGGTATGCTGTTGTGTGCGCCCATGTACCTGCGCGTGTACGAGTAAGTACGTGTAAGGGACGAACACAGGACAAGCGAGTTCGCGCGCACACGCGCACCGCGAAGGGGTGGTTCACCTAAACAGAGGTGGATGGTACACACACGCGGCCGGAGTGGGTTGATTCTTGCGGCGGATTCTGGCATCCCCTGTAATTGCCAGAAATGAGGTAAAGCTTACCGCTTACGCCAAGCCTCCTACGCTTCTGGATGCCCCGCGGATCCGCGGGACCTTACGCGCCGCGCTTTTGTCTGTGATTCACCTATGCGCCTACTTGCGTCGTGACGGTCGTTTCGGCTCGTACCTCCTCTATAGGCGACTCGCTTTCTCCTCAAAAATTAAAACCGATGCAAATTGCAAATTTGATGAATTTAACTTTTAATGTTGGCATGAAAATCAATGTTTATTCGGGACATTAAGAATCCAAAGACTTTACTAAAGTTTTTACGGTCTTTCAGGGAAACTAAAAATATTTACCACATTTGAAATGACTTTTCCGACAGCAAAGTATTTATTTCTGTAAACGACTGTTTACCGCGGTGAATTAACAAACAAAAATATTATTTCTACATGGACAATATTTAAAATTTAGTACGATACATTAAAATAAAGCCTCATTTATTTTATTGGCCGCTGTCAAAGTATTAGTATATTTACATAATATTATGCATTACATTAATGATTGTGTATGTATTGTATAGCGTCATATGTGCATACAATTTTGACACATAGAAATGTCACAAGTTCAAATAAATTCTCTCGTTTAAAAACAAATATTATGTCCGTAGATTCGCGATTATTATCGGGACCAATAGCATTTTTATCAATTTCACAATTTAATGTCGTTACTACTTATTTAACTATCAAAGCTATCTTGAGCCAATTCGCGGATGCAATCAATATTATCGCGAAATCGCTCGTACGATAAGACGGGAATTTATTTTGGTGAAAACAGTTTTATAGCGTTTTGAAGCAGAATTTTTTTTTCTGTTTTACCGTTATTTCCTTCCGCAAACTCCCAAAATTAGCTTCGCGACAAAGAGACGAGAAGTGAACGTTTTCCGGTTATCAGAATGGCGGATCCACGTTGGAAATTGTTTCTTTTTTTTTTTTTTTTTTTTTTTGAGAGAGTGTCGCGCCGGCCGAAAACCGTGCGCACAAAACGAATCCCCGTTTCCCATTCCACGTTCGATTCCGCGTATCGTCGTTACCATTTGGCGTTTTAGCCCGGGGGGAAGTGTACGCCCACAAAACCGCGCCACAAAAGATATCCGCCTGTAGCGAAACAGTAGCTACTCAAAATCGATCCGACTAAATCGAGGCAAATTATACGTTGCGGAGAGAGTGCTCGCGCTCGCGCGTTTCTCTTCCGTTATAGAAAAGACCCCCGCGTGTGCTCGTTCGCGCGCGGCCGCGCCGGGCCACGTCGCCGAAAATGCGCCACTGTAATCGAATTGTATATGTATGCATTGCACCGATCGCGAAAAAGAACCAAGCTCAGTGCGAGGATGAATCACAATGGTGGCAGTATCGATATTGCGTTTGCTCATCATTCACGCGTTTACGATCGTGTTTACGATCACGTGGCTTTAGAAAGGAAGAATAATTTGCAAAATGTAAAAAAAAAAATGAAAAACTCCAATCTGAGCAATAAGGATACTTTTTCTTTTCTTTGTCTTTTCCACTTTCTTTATTGTTCGATAGATCTCTTAGATTGGAACAAAAGTGTTACTTCGTTTGTATCATATCTACATACTTTTGAAAAAATTGGCAATATACTACTCGTATTTGATAGAGCAAGGTTTCAACTTCAAGAATCTGTTTTTTTAATTACAATGATTTTTAACAAAGTTATATGTAATTAGAATTAAAATGCTCCTTTTGTTTGATCCACGACAACTCAGTAATAAAAAATCGTAGGAACATTTTTAAATAATAATTTTGTAGGAAAAATTTTAAGCTTTCACAATAAAACGTCGAAAATTTTCGCAAATATTTTTTGGCTACATGACAAACCCACAACGTACGAAAAAAATTTTCCGTTTTTTCTGGTTCGCAGTTTTCTACATGTAGAAATTATCCAACTCATACAGAAACTTAAAAACATAATAAAAATATTTTCCTTCCAAAAAATATTTTCCTTCCAAAAAATATTTTAATACGCAACTAAAAAGTAATATAAACAAGATCATAGGAGTCAATCGCAAGTTGTTTATAATGCGAGAACAAATTTAATAGTTACAATAATTCTCGTACGTTTCGACTCTAAATTTGAGTCATCTTCAGCTTAAATATATAATAGATAAGTACAGTTAATAATACCGCAAAATATTTTAAACTTTAAAGCCCCTTTTTTAAATTTAAACTTCGTTCATTTTTAGTTTAATTATAGTATGAATTTTATAGTTCGTAGCGTATGAACTTCCGTTTCAAACATATTTTTTCAATATATTCTTTTCTATTTATATTTAGTAAACATGAGAAATAAAAAATAATTCTTTCTTTATCTCATTATTATAACAAAATGTCTTCTGAAAATCAAAATCATAATGTAATTTCAAATATAATTAATCATATTTAATTAGAATTTCTCAGCCTATTCTAGTCATGTCTTAATCACGATTGCTATCTCTTCAATTTTTGACCGGAGACTCCGACTTTTTTAACAAATTTTTACTTTTACGGCTAACCGTAAAAATTTTGATGAGTTTTTTTTTAGGCGCATACGTCGATTTTTTTTCAGTTTTGAAAAGAAATTTCCGATCAAAGGGTCAGATCTGGTGACCTTTCTTTCAGAGAACGCAAGACAGAAACAATTTTGATAGTGGCAATCAATATCCGGCAGGATAGCGAGATCTCCGGCAGAAGAGTTCTCCAGAGGAACACTAACAATTAGAAAAGTGGCAATCGTGGCCTAATCGTGGTTTTTATTATTACTTTCGCAGTAGTTAATAAAAGATTAACGATTGAATTTGTTATCAATATAAAGTCGATAACATTTTATAAACAATGCCATTTTTAAACTCGAGGATGAAACAGGCAGAAAAGAGAAAATCGAGATTCGGCAAGTCGACATCGATTTAATTAATTAAAGCAATATGTCTCTTTATGTCGCGTTTCAAAGGTAGCACTGAGACAATTCCCACGTGCTTTCTTGGGCGCGTATTATGTTCGCACACGCGCGTGAATATCCCGTGAACAATTTTTTTCGACAATGTCGTTTTCATCGGCGCCAAATCTGCGCTACGAATCTGGCTCGCAGCCCTCGTGGGGCCAGTCAGACGGGCGAGGAAAGCTTTTAGGTCCCGCAGAAATCAGATCACGAGTTGCATTTAACCGGATCCCACTTACTGCGATAAATATCTCGACGGAGGGATCGACCTGTGTTAGATCGACGCGTTTATTCCGTGGCCGTTTCGTCTCGACTTCGCTTCGGTGCACTTAGCTCCAGTTTTAGCTAATTTTCCAGACAAAGAGAGACAGTGATCTCCAGGCGTACTCTTAAGAGGTCCCCAGATAAAGCCAGGTAGCTATTCCCGTTAAACGTTTCGACTTAACCGAAGCACTGACGACTAACGATTTTTTTTTAGAGGAAAGAGAAGCTACGGCGCATATAATTTTGTTACGCAGAAAGACATAAAGTAATTTTAATTATTGAGACTTGAAAAACAAGACATTTTTTAAAAACAAGACTTCTTCTTAACATATATGTCTTTTAAAGATAATTTTTAAAAATAAAGAAATGTTGAGAAA